CCTTTGCAATGATGTCTCTCCCGTGCGCCTGTGCCAAGGGGATGGATGGCTCAAGCACAGGAGAAAGCACGGGTTGCGTGGGCTCCGCTTCTTTCACAGGCATCGGAAACTTCGTGACTTGAGATTGTCTTATAAGCTGGTGTGTCTTGGCGTGTGTGTGTGTGTGTGTGTGTTGGTTAGTGAATGAATGAATGGGTGGTGGGTGGTGGTGGGTGGGTGGGTGGTGGGTTATGTTGGAGACTGTTGGGTTTTCAGAACTGGAGGTTTGGGATGATTGTTTGTTTGTTGTTGTTGGTGTTGTTGTTGTTGTTGTTGGTGTTGTTTTCATTGTCTGTATGTAGGTCAATTAATTTATTGCTATTATTTTTTGTTTCATTCATTTGTTTATTAGTATTATTATTGTTTTTTCTGTTCTTTTTTCTGTGACTATAATAGACAAAATCACTAACCTTATGCATGTTTATTTTCTTTACTGGCATAACTCTGATACTAAGACACTTAATTTAAACTCAACAAAACAATATTAATAATAATAATCTTAAAAATCACCATCGCATTCCCAACATAATTTTTGCAATCTTGAAACAGAATCGACAATACTCCATCCATACTAAAGCCTGCAATTGCTAGCTGTCGTCCCTTGCAACACAACCACGGCCGCTGCACCTTCAAATTCATAACTAATTCATCATCGCGTTATTTTCCGCTCGTTTTACAATTCGACGATACAGAAGACCCCCTCGAAAACGGAGGAAAAAAAAACAAACGAACAAACAAACGGATATTAATGATTCTTGACGTTATCTCCATCAGTAATTAATGATGTTTAATTTGCAAAACAACGTGTTTATTTGCTCCTGTGATCAATCGTTCTCTTATCGCCGTAAATTACACCAATTCATCATTAACATACACAACCATTAAGAGAAATGGTCATTACTATGACTCTGCTATTCTTGTCTTTTATAGGCCAATGAACGGCTCTCAAACGGCACTTATTGATTATATGTTAGACAACGTTGTTCTAAGATACATGCAATATACGTGTGGGTTTGTGTTCGTATGTTTTTTTGTTTTTTTTTTGTTCCTTTGCTTGTTTGTGTCTGTGCGCCCGCGTGTGACTTTATCTTTATAGCTATATCTATATTCATCTATCTATACGTTTATGTACATGTCTATATTCATATAAATATAAATTACATGAAAACACACACGCAAACACACACATACACACACACACACACACACACACACACACACACACACACACACAAACACACACACACACATACACACACACACACACACACACACACACACACACACACACACACACAAACACACACACACACACAAGCACACACACACACAAACACACACACACACACAAGCACACACACGCAAAACGCATGTAAGTCTAGGCACGTATGTTCATGAGTAGAACTGACCTTTGAATTTACCCAACAGAACAAAATCCCACGCAAGATAGCTAGCTTTATCAACGTCTTTTCTTGTGTAATCTCCGCCACTCCTACGATCACGTCCTAGCCATCAAGTCCATGATAAAACCGCTGTTCTAGAAGAATCCACAGCGGTGAGCATAAGGAATAGTAGACTTCTGCTTCATGATATCCTTAAAAAAACATTACCTTTATCATGTTCTCAAAGACTGCACATCAATAACTAATGAACAAAGGTAATTTATTCCCCAAAGCTGGATAAATATCGTTTTTTTTTCTTTCTTTCTTTTTTAACACAACTACAGTGATTTCAAGGTAACTATCAGTTACTTTATAATTACCATAACTTGACACCACAAACTTCTCAAGCAAAAACAGTAACCCATTTTAGGAAAGACCACCTACACTGAACCCAAGATTACATAATATATCTAGGAGTATATGTATCTAAGGATACGTAATATATCTAAGAGTATATTTGTCTTGTATCTAGCGTTATTAAATAATAGTAAATCCTACAAAAAAATAGTCGCACGCACAGTGCATAACATCTGTTTGGAAAGTTCATACTGATAAGATAACAACCTATGCATCAAAACTCTATAAAACAACTGTTCATATAAAGAAAGTATTTTTTTTCCAAGATCACTAATCCAAATATGATATGAATCACCGAAGCAGTAGTCATGGGGGATTCCTAAAATATCGGGTGTACGTGACTGGTGCATCTACATAATCGTCTCTTGCCAAATTCGTTACGTATTGACAATCCATTCACCTTTAGATCCTAATTCATAATTAATTCATGCATTTCCGTACTGGTTTCATATGTAATATCAAACCTTCTTTTTTTCACGTCAATTCACATACTCACATTATGAAGCACACGGACTATTGAACAAAAAACGGAGCAGAGTCTCCCGTTTTCTGTTCGGTAAGAGACACGTCTCCGATAACTCCGTGCATGCGCGGTAGACGTTTTTGTTTGTTTGCTTGTTTTCCTTTATGAAACGAATCTAAGATTTTCATGAAACTGGCCATTTGTTTATTCCCCCTATACTCTGTTTTTGTTTAAAACCACATTTAGGTAAAAGAGAGAGAGAGAGAGAGAGAGAGAGAGAGAGAGAGAGAGAGAGAGAGAGAGAGAGAGAGAGAGAGAGAGAGAGAGAGAGAGAGAGAGAGAGAGAGAGGTGGAGTGTGTGCTTGTACTTGTTAGTGTGTATGTTTGTGCCTATCCTTGAACTTGTGTTTGAGTTCATGTGTGAACATATATTAAACTCCCATCAACTCGCACACACTTTACATATCATGAACTACACAAACATGTTCCCATTCTACTCATGGTATGGTGCAATATGGATGACCAACCATGTATACTTTTGGTACTGACGATACCACTAATCTTGCAAGAATGTTGCTCTTTTCGACCACCATAAGACACAGACAAGCTAATCAATATTAATACGTGTCCATCAATAAAACATTACGTGTACTGTGACCCCCATGATACCTACAGACATTTTCCTAAAGGTTGCAACACCTCTAGCCCTAAGCAACGTTGCAAGATGCAGTATTCTGTCCGCAAAATATCGCTACAGTGCTCAGCGCGAAATGATTACAGAGGAGCACCGTGATCGTTGCAGAACAGCATCATATTTCTTGCAAGAAAGAACAAAATGGCGGGTTGCAATATGACGTTGAAAAAGCAGCATCTCGGAAGGAGAGCATCGCTGTTGCGCTCGATCCGGCAATAGGAGAAGATGAATATGAAAAGAGAGGGAAGCAAAAAAAAAAAAAAAAGTAAATGGGAAAAAATGTGAAGGAAGCATGACCACAAGGAAGGAATATGTGAAGGAAGCATGGACACGCAAGCATACAAACGCATGCAGACACACACGAGCCTATATCCAATCACTCAAAAGAGACCTATATTAAAAAAAAAACACACACACAAAAAAAACATGACCATCACCATAAGCCAAAACCCGCGTAAATTCTTTTTAATCACATGAACCGGCGACTAACACAGTTCCAGCCGACGCTCTCCGCCCAACTAATTTACTCCGACCCCGTAAACTTTTAAAACTGCTCCGCTTATTACCGTGGAGGAAGAAGTTCTGTGACCATCTCATTCCGCGAAGTTAGAGTGGAAGTTTGAAGGGAGAGGTTTCAGTTCCGTGTAAGAGGAACGTTTGAGAAAAGGAGGGGGGGGTGGAGGGGGGGGGTGTTGGGGGGGGAGGGGAGGAGAGAGAGGTCCCCCCTCTTCATCTCCAAAGGGGAGGGGGGGTGGGGGGAGGAGGAAGGGTGAGGGGGAGGGGGAGGAGGGGGGAGAGAGAGGTCCCCTATCCCCCTCTTCATCTCCAAAGGGGGGGTGGGGGCTCTACGTGGCGGAATCGACGGCCAGGTTTTCAATCTTCTGAAGGACGGGGGAAGTTGTGTGCTCGTTATGTGTATTTAAAATGGTTGGTAATATATATGTATGAGTGTATATATGTAAAAAATATAGATAGATAGATAGATAGTTAGATAGATTGCGTGACAGATTTTAGTAGATATTATTATTATTATTTTTTTTGTAAGGGGATTTAGATATCTTTTCTGTTATATATACATTTTTTTTTTTTTTTTTTGGGGGGGGGGGGCAGACTAATTTCAAAGTTTCTTTCTGTAATGAGGTATTTAGGTTCGTTTATAAGGAGGGGGGGAAGGCGTAGAAATATTTTTTTCTCTCTCAAGATTGGTTTATAGTTAGCAATCGACAATGAAGCAATTTGTTGATGTTTCGTAAACTTTAGATTCATTAATGCTTACAGCTGGCTTTATTGCCATGATGAAAACTATTATTTCGTAAGAAGTAATTATTTTCTGTGAAATGGATCTCTCTTTTCTTTTCATCCCTCTTCTCTCTATATAATCTATTTTCTTTCTCTCTTCCTTTGTTCCTTTTCCCCTCCCCCCACCTCTCTCTCTCTCTCCCTCTCTCCCCCCTTCCCCTTTCCCTCTTTCTCTCCCTCTCCCTCTCTCTTTCTCTATCTCTCTTTCCCTCCCCCCCTCTCCTTCTCTCCCTTTCTCCCTCTCTCTCTCTCTCTCTCTCTCTCTCTCTCTCTCTCTCTCTCTCTCTCTCTCTCTCTCTCTCTCTCCCTCCTCCCCCTCTCTCTCTCTCTCTCTCTCTCCTCCCCCCCTCTCTCTTCCCTCTCCTTCTCTCTCCCCTATCCCTCTCCTTCTCTCTCCCCCTTTCCTTCTCTCTCTCTCTCCCCTCTCCCTCTCTCTCTTTCCCTCCTCTCCCTCACCCCCTCTCCCTCTCTCTCCCATTCCTTCTCTCATTCACCCACTCCACCCCCCCCCCCTCCCTTGTTAAAGACACAGACACACACTCTCACTAAATGGAAAATGATTACTGTCATTAGAACATGACTGAGGAACAATCAATCAATCAAGAGCAAAGACAACTAATGAAACAGTGACTCGAAATAAAGATCAGCTCGGATGGAGTGATCGTGGCGCCGGGAAAAAATGAAGTGACACCGATCAACATCTCACGCCTTTGGGGCCCCCTCGTTGTTCCTACGATTCGGTTGGGGTCGGGGGTGAGGGTGGGGTGGGGGTTCTTGTCTCCTTTACTGGGTCCTACTCTACTGGGGTCTCCTTTACTGGGTCCTACTCTACTGGGGTCTCCTTTACTGGGTCCTACTCTACTGGGGTCTCCTTTACTGGGTCCTACTCTACTGGGGTCTCCTTTACTGGGTCCTGCTCTGCTGGGCCCTCCTCTACCAGACCCTCCTTTACTGGGTCCTACTCTACTGGGGTCTCCTTTACTGGGTCCTACTCTACTGGGGTCTCCTTTACTGGGTCCTACTCTACTGGGGTCTCCTTTACTGGGTCCTACTCTACTGGGGTCTCCTTTACTGGGTCCTACTCTACTGGGGTCTCCTTTACTGGGTCCTACTCTACTGGGGTCTCCTTTACTGGGTCCTACTCTACTGGGGTCTCCTTTACTGGGTCCTCCTCTACCGGGTCCTCCTCTAAAAGACCCTCCTCTACCAGACCCTCCTTTACTGGGTCCTACTCTACTGGGGTCTCCTTTACTGGGTCCTACTCTACTGGGGTCTCCTTTACTGGGTCCTACTCTACTGGGGTCTCCTTTACTGGGTCCTACTCTACTGGGGTCTCCTTTACTGGGTCCTACTCTACTGGGGTCTCCTTTACTGGGTCCTCCTCTACCGGGTCCTCCTCTAAAAGACCCTCCTCTACCGGACCCTGCTTTACTGGGCCCTCCTCTACCGGGTCCTCCTCTAAAAGACCCTCCTCTACCAGACCCTCCTTTACTGGGTCCTACTCTACTGGGGTCTCCTTTACTGGGTCCTACTCTACTGGGGTCTCCTTTACTGGGTCCTACTCTACTGGGGTCTCCTTTACTGGGTCCTACTCTACTGGGGTCTCCTTTACTGGGTCCTACTCTACTGGGGTCTCCTTTACTGGGTCCTACTCTACTGGGGTCTCCTTTACTGGGTCCTACTCTACTGGGGTCTCCTTTACTGGGTCCTACTCTACTGGGGTCTCCTTTACTGGGTCCTACTCTACTGGGGTCTCCTTTACTGGGTCCTACTCTATGCTGTGTGCTGGGGCCCTCCCTTTGACGGGGTTCTCCGGTACTGGGGCCTCCTTTAGTGGGCCCTACTCTACTGGGGTCTCCTTTACTGGGCTGACCTTTACTGGGTGTTTCTCTATTGTGTTCTCCTTTACTGGGTCCTCCTCTACCGGGTCCTCCTCTAAAAGACCCTCCTCTACCAGACCCTGCTTTACTGGGTCCTGCTCTGCTGGGCCCTCCTCTACTTCTTCCAAGCGGGATGAGGCGCTCATCACCTCCGTGCGTTCCCTACATGATCGCTTTCGTTACCTCCGACCTTTCCCCCTAAACAGCATAAGGCCATAGTGCAATGTCGCCCCTTTATGGCGCAGCTTAGGCTGATGACTCAGTGTTAATAACACGAAAAGTCAACACTGTTATAGCGACCAACCTATTCACACTGACACCCTACCCACATGTACTGTACCCTTACCCATACGTCATGTACTACAGTGCCCATACGAATCCATTCAGAGCAGCCACTGGCTCATAACCCTACAAGTTCTATCCACACATTCGCCCGCACAGCCACGCCGCCTAAATAGACGCGTGTGTATTGATGTAAAGCGACCACATCACTCGCAACAAACACAGCAGCCTGTGTCCTTGTAGGAATCCGAACCCGGTGTATCAAGTAACTCCGGCTCGAGACTCGGAGTTCGATAAAGAACGAGAGCATTTGAAACCACACGCCTTACATACACGCTAACTTATATTAACATCGGGGTTGCCATAAGCATAATGGTCGTTGCTGGCTCATGTACAGCCACTGAACACGAACAGCTTGCGACAGGCATCAGAGTGGGACATCTTGAACAGTTTTCGCTTAATGGACGCGGGCCATTGAAATTTCACCTGCTTGGCATTAGGCGGTAAGGGTGTGTAGTCTAGTAGTGGTACTGGTAAGATAGCTCTGGGCAACAGACACTGGTTCATTCATTCTCGTTTTGTCACTTGGCGGCTTGCCAAACTGACATTATACGGTGGGTATCCTATTTATAAGCCGTAGGAAAGTGACCGGCGAAAATGAAAATAAGAATGACACAGCAGAAAAAAAAATCGCACTGTTTTAAAAAAATCAGAGAAGGATTTTATATCTAAAACTTTTCCACAGATCATACTTAACATAGTGGGCGTTAATTGCCTATCCAGCAGTTACGTATTCTGTGCCTGAAGTCACACAAATAATACACAAACGCATACAAGATTCGAGTTACATATACAAGATTCATTAGCGCGGCCGAATCTTTCCCAACACCACCACTGCTGCTTGTGTCTGTGTTGCTTATATGTCATCTGTGTAATCTTCGTCATAACATCGTAATTGTTCTGACCTTGAGAATAATACAGTTTCCTACAGACACGCAGAGGCTGGAAGGACACACGCATATGTAGAAACACCTACTGAAAAAAGCCATGAGAAGACGGAGATACATAATCAAAGGATAAATAAACATGATCTTTCTCCCTCCTGTATACATACGGTGCACACGCGCCCACTTTATATCTTATTCCTAAAAAACAAAAACAAAAACAAGTTAACAAATTCGAGAAGATACCCCTGCTGATGAAATGAAATTTTCATGAAAGTAACTCCGACCGCGCGAGTCTGTCATATCTCCAAGGAAATGACCGTCGTTAGGGAAACTGTGTTAAAGAGAAATTGAAAAATTGAACTATCGGTTTTCCTCAATAAAGTTAATCGATTTACGCTTAACTCCCCTCCCTCCCTTTCCCCTCTTCCCACATGAATCCATAAAGGCACGCACGCACGCACATGCAAGTCCAGAGCCCGAACGCTTGGGTAACATACATAGATTCATGCACGGACATAAAGGAATGGAAAAAAGGGGGAACAGAAGAGATAGTGATAGAGATAGAGGGAGAGGGATAGAGGGAGGGGGAGGGAGGGAGGGAGGGAGGGAGGGCAGGAGGGAGGGAGGAGAGGAAAGGGGGGGGGGAGGGAGGAGAGGGAGGGAGGAGAGGGAGGGAGGGAGAGAGAAGAGAGATAGAGAGATAGATAGATAGATAGAGAGAGAGAGAGAGAGAGAGAAAGAGGAGCGAAGAGAGGGAGAAGAGGAGGAGGAGGAGAGAGATAAACAGTTAAACATCCATAAAAATAGGCATACCCAACTTCGTCTGCTTCTCAATCTAGTGTCACTTAACAAATATTTCTGCAGCATTTGCAAAGGTCATACATCAAACAAGATCACAGCGGACCTTTAAAAAAAAACATCCGAATATATTTATTAATAAATGGAATCGTAGAAAATAGAGCAAACGCATTTAATGATAACAATGACATTTGCTTAGTGCCTAACTGTATATCAAAACTTAGCAGCAAATAATTTCAAAGTTTTATTTTTCTGCATACGTTCATTCTTACGTTATTTATCTTTTATATCATAATCCATTGTGTGGATTATATTTTTTTAAAAGTAACATCTGACCACGCTCTATATAAACAGGGGATCAGACATATAAAAATCATACGATTTCTAATTTTTACCGCTCAATATACCGCGTTTTTCTCATAAAACTATTTCAAAAACTCATACTGGTGAAACATCATATTCCCAAAGGCTTTTAATATAAAAAGTAATAACATACTTTTAACACGGTAAAGCCATATTTTTACTACTGCGAATCATAAAAATGATAATAGTACTCACCGTGCAAATAGGAACAAGGTATGACAACAAGGACGATAACGCTATGTAATATTGACAGCATTTATGGTGCTAACGATGATTATAATAACTATAGCAAGAGTATAAAATAACAATATATACAGCGACAGTGATGATGATGAATAAACGCAATTACTGTAAAAGAAAAAATAAACATTCAAATCAACTGAAAAAGAGATGAGCATAATCATGCCGAGAAAAAAAAGAAAGAAAAAAAAGAGAGAGAAAAAAAAGGAATTTCACCGACTTCAAAGAAAAAGGAAAAAAATATACTTGCATTTGAAATGAAGCGCAGATCAACATCGTCACGCACCCGTAGCTTATGACGACCGAACGACCAGGAACGACCGGGCCGAGGAACAAGGGACCGGCTCTCCCAAACACCGAGGTCCTTGTTCCCTCCCTGCGGCTCCTCAGGTGATGCGGTAAGTCGGGTGTGCTTCTTGAGCGGACTCTCCATGAGGCCAACAACCTCGGGGGGAGAAGGGGAGGACTTTCAAGTGCCGCTTACTCGCTCGCTCGCTGCCTCCTGAATTCCACGGCCGGCAGGAATTTCGCGTGGGGCATAATTATCTGGGTATTTCGTGAGTATTTTCGTGCTTGAGGGGGGAGGGGGGGGGGCTTGTGCAAGCTTGTGAATATCGGTCGAGGCATGTCGCTCTTGTTGTGCAAGTCTAGTGCATTTCAGTCGACTCGTTTTAACTTCGTTGCGCGAATCTGAGTCATTTCCTTGCTCTTAGGCAAATTCATTAATATCAGTTCGAGTCATTTCGCTGCGTTGTGCAACTCTTATGATACCATTCGAGTCCTATGACTTTGTCTGGCAAACAAGTGAATACTCGTCTTTTTTGTGCAGACGTGTAAATATCAGTAGAGTCATTTCATCTTGTTCTGCAAATTTATAAACATCAGTCGAGTCATCTTCCCCTGTTACATCGTGAATTTCCATTGTGTGATTCCCTTCTCCCTTTCCCCGTTTTTTTTTCTCTCGTGTCTCACTGCACCCAGCACACGAAGCGTGGTACCCTTTTTAGTGAATATTCAGTGAAGTGTTTAATGAATTGTTTAGCGATTGAGTCTTCAGCCCCTTTTTTTCCCACCCATCCAGAATGTGGTAGCGAGGACAGGAGGGGAAAGTCGGCCGTAATTTCGGAGGCTTATTTACGAGCGAGGTTACGGCACAGAGAACAGAGGGGAAACGGGGCGCTGGCTCTCTCCCTCGCCTGAGTCCGCGTCATAGGGGTACGTTAAAGCACTATTTATGTGTCAGTAATATAGCAGGTAGACAAAAATGGGCGTTCGATTAAGGCGTTGTGAGTGATGGATCACCTTAGTGCCAGGAGAGTGTTTGTGCTGGTGAGTTACTAAGGATGTAACCACGAACAGATACAAAAGATAAGTAACAGAGGATGGAATAATCTCCCAGTTGATAATAAACGGGATACCGAAACCATAATTACAGAAAACCAGAGAAACTGTTGATATTGAAATAACATACTCTCTACCACAGCAGTGCCTCCCTGCAAGCAGACCAGGTCCTCCGATCCCTCCGCAAGCATTCCGCACGAAAGGCCGTTTCGCAATTCCGCTGATGGCCACGGTGACGAACTTGGGAGAGGCACGCCGCCGCCCCTCACCTCTGCCGAAGTACCTGCCGGTCGCAGAACTTGGCCCAACTTCCCTCGCCAAGTCCCGGAAGTTCGCGACCGGGGAGAACCACATGAAAACTCCTCGGGGCATGAAGTCCTCTCCGCCGCGGGATCAGCTCGACCCGATGACCTCCCCCTCTCCCCCCTCCCCAACCCCCCCACGGGAACGCATTACCCGGAGAGGATTATGCTAAGAGTTGGTCTCATCACATCCCGCCGTTATTTCAATTTGCGAAATGAAGGACGAAGGCTCGCCGCTCCAGTGAATTCAAGAACGAAAATCCCACGACGTGACAAAAAAAAAGAAAAAAAAATCCAAAACGAACACACACACACATATATATAAAAACATCCCGAATCCATTTCGCAGAGTAACATACAGACACACACATACATATATACCTTCCCATGAATAAGCGAGAGAGAATGTTTTAATAAATATATCGAACATCGACTCAGCCGCGAGCATGAAACGTCCTTTGTTAAGCAATTTTCATCAGGGCAGGAACATTCCGCCCAACAATGACATTCATTCACTAAGTCGTCCTGGTTTCCGAGCCTCCTTATCCAGCAAGTTGCCAGAGTTAGTTATTCATTCCATTTCAGTTTAAAAATCTCACTGTCATGTGTGCGTGTGTGTGTTTATGTACACGTACGCTTTTAAAGCCCACATACAAATTAGAAGGTTATATGCAACAGTGTGCACGTGCGCAGATGGACGGAGGAGGAGAGACAGAGAGGGAGGGAGGGAGGAGGGAGAGGGGGAAAGGGAAGAGAGCGAGAGAGAGAGTGAGAGAGTGAGCGAGAGAGAGAGAGAGAGAGAGAGAGAGAGAGAGAGAGAGAGAGAGAGAGAGAGAGAGAGAGAGAGAGAGAGAGAGAGAGAGAGAGAGAGAG